TGTATTAATAAAAATAAATAATATATATTCATTAATTCTAACAGTCATACCATGCTAATGTGAAGTTTAAGGTGAAACTGTGTGTGGGGTACATGGGAATTCTCTGTAGTATCTTCAAAACTCTAGTATCTGCAAGTCTAAAACTATTCTAAAACGGGAAGATTATTTTTTAAAAAAGAATGCGAATACTCTCTCTATACACCAACTAAAAAAAGAGGAAAGCAAGAAAGATAATAAAAATGATGACCGACTGAAGGTAATACTGTACATCCTTATCAAAAGTAATGATTTTGTGCAGTAGGAGTTTTGCAATATTGGCACTTATCTGAGGGAAGTCCGACTTCTTAGCAGAAATCAGTGAACTCTAGTAGTGTGCTTAATTTATGAATAGTAGCTCACCTGCTAGGTTAGTAGCAAGTACTTCTCAGTTGTTTTTAAAAATTAAATTGTGTTAAAAATTTAAGATTTTGGATTTATGCAATAAAAATTCTCTGTGCCTGCCTCTGGGCTGCAAACCACACCTTACTCTTTGCACTTGTGTTTTGCAGTTGCTTATTCCTCTTTCAAGTAAAAACGTATTTCACATGATTTTGAGGGCACCGAATACATCATCCCTATATCATTTACCTATCCTTCTATTCAGCCACAAAACCCCACAAACATGAAAACAAAACATGAAGCCGGAAGAATTTTGATTGTTCTATACATACTTATTTTAGTTTAATCTAATTTATAAATATAAAGGTTAAGAATAAAGGCAAAGGCTATTTTGTAATTAAAGATTAATTTTATATTAAAATAGACTTTAAGCATTTTTAACAAATATTAGAACAGGAAATTTTAGATAACAATGTAAACTCTTGAAGTAGAACTGTGGTATTTGTGAATGTGGAGGCTTTTCACTCTGATGATGTTGAAATTAATGGTTGTAAAATAAGTAGATATTAAAGATAAAAATCATTTTGGAAAAAGATTTTTTAAATTCCTTAGACTAGAAAATTTTCTGAACGGAAATACCTTTATCACTTTAAATATTAGTTTTCATGACTCATCTTGGTAAGGCAAAGTACTTCAATTCTTTTGAAAGTTTCTATATTATAATTAACATACAGTAGAGTTATTAGTTAGCAATTGCTGTGTAACTAGCTGTCCCCCAAAATTTAGTGACTTAAAACAACAACCTCTAGTTAGTTTTCGTGAGTCAATGAGTAGACTCAGTGGTTCTATTGTGAACCAAACTTTTCTGGAGAAGGCTTAGCTGATCTCATCACCCACAGACCCGTGGGCTGAGTTGTGGGTCTGTGATCTGCTAATTAGTTAACAGGGGGCTGCCATGAGCTGGTGAGACAACTTATCTGTGTTCCATTTGGTCTGTCCTCCTCTGGCAAGGTAGCCCACCTGGACTTGCTCTTATGGAGGTGGTGGAGTTGAGAGAGTAAGAACAAGAGAGAGAAACTATGCAAGGTGGAGTTGAGAGAGAGTGAGAGCAAGAGCAAGAGAGACAAACTATGCAAGATCACCTGGGGCCTAGTCTTGGAAGGCATATTGTTGTTTTTGCCACATTCTCTCTCCTTTTTTTTTTTTGAGATGAAGTCTCACTCATTCTGCCGCCCAGGCTGTAGTATGGTGGCATGATCTTGGCTCACTGCAGCCTCTGCCTCCCAAGTTCAAGTGATTCTCCTGCCTCAGCCTCCTGAGTAGCTGGAATTACAGGCGTGCGTCACCACACCCAGCTAATTTTTGTATTTTTAGTAGAGATGGGGTTTTGCCATGTTGTCCAGGCTGGTCTTGAGCTCCTGGCCTGCTGGCAATCCACCTGCCTTGGCCTCCCAAAAGTGTTGGGATTATAGGTGTGAGCCACCGTGCCCATCCTCCACATTCTCTTCGTTAAAACAAGTCAAGACCAGGTGATATTCAAGGAGTGGGGAAATAAACTCTGTCTTGATGGGAGGAATTACAATATCACATTGTCAAGAGCGTGGATACAGGGAGGAGTGGAGAATTGGGGCCATCTTGTGGTCATTTGGCTAAGTGAAATAGCATTCAGAAGAATCAACTGCTTCATTCAGATAGATTCTTTTCTGTTTATGTAAAACCAAACAGATGAATTAACTGTTGCTTTAGTTATCTTTTTTGTGTTTATTGTAGTAATATCAAGTATGGTAATTTAAGTAGTACTTCTGTTCTAAAAGGGCAAGTGTGAATTTTATACAGAAACCCTTTTGATCTGAATTGAATTGAAAGTGAAAGTAGAACTTAAGAATTCCAGGGTTGTTTGGTAGCAAGACTATTTTCGTTATTAGTCTCTTGGATTTGTCATTTTTTACTATTACTCTCTCAGTTTTGCATCTTTTATTCATTTAGTTTACCTAGATTGTAAATCATTGTAATCTCTTAATTGCATCAATTTACATGACACATCATTTAGATTTTTTTTGGTGTGGAAAATATGTGCAGATATTGATGTGTGCATTAAGTACCTTTATTATAATACTTGTTACAGAATATACCAAGTTACTCATTTGGAGTAGGGGTTTTTAAAAGAAACCTTTTTATTGAAATATACTCATAATACATGTTTCAGGACTTTAGAGCTCTTTGAGTTTTAACAAACAGATTGTAACTGTATAACCGAATCCCGATTGAGAAACCAGCATCCAAATTGAGAAGTAAAAATTACTAGCATCCCATAAGCTCCCTTCGTAGTTTCTTTCTGTCACTGCTTCTTCCAAGAGTAACCAGTGTCATTACTCGGGACTCTGTATATTAGTTTTTCATGCTTTTGTTCTTTAACCATTTACACACAATATGTACTTTTTTGGGGCCTGACTTCTTTCAGAATAGGTTCTTTATTTTTTCATATCTCACAGATAAGTGAGAAACAATCACATTTAAATACAGCATTTAATTTGGACACAGATCCTTTTAAAATCTTACTAAAAATGTCAAAATTTGTTACTGGAATGATAGAATCAACCATGTATTACCAATAACATTTTAATTCAACATAGGATATAAAAAGCTGTGACTTTTCCTCCTTTTTTCGGAAATAAACCGTGATCTTAGTTTCTTAAAGAAAAGAAGGGACATTGGTGTCTGTAATTTTTAAAGTCAGACTTCAAATAAATAGTACTCTCTGTGAAAATGAGGTCACCTATTTTATTTTCATGCCATTGGTACTGTATCACCATTGAAGATTGTCATTGAAGTTTGTTTTAAAAACTAGAAAAGATGACTTAGCAAAATCTTGGATAATGTGTGTTGGCATCAGGGTTTCCTCGAGGTTTTCAAGTCGATTGTACCAAGACTTATTAAAAAAAAAAAAAAATCTTTGTGTATGAGATAGGGTTAATGAAATTGTATTTCTTTGGCATTTAACACGAGACCAAGTTATTTCACTGTACTTTGTCAGGTATCTCTGTGTTCTCCTTTGCCCTTAAGAACAGACACATTTCTTTTTTTCTGTATGGTTTTCTCTTCTCTTTTCTCCCTAAAACTCGAAGTAATCTCACATCAACTCTTTTCTTTTTCTTTTCTTTTCTTCTTCCTTTTCTTCCTTTCCTTTCCTTCCCTTTCCCTCCTTTTTTTTTTTTGAGACGTAGTTTCACTCTCGTTGCCCAGGCTGGAGTGCAGTGGTGTGATCTCAGCTAACTGCAGCCTCTGCCTCCTGGGTTCAAGTGATTCTCCTGCCTTAGCCTTCCAAGTAGCCAGGATTATAGGTGCCCGCCACCACGCCTGGCTAATTTTTTGTATTTTTAGTAGAGATGGGGTTTCACCATGTTGGTCAGGCTTGGTCTCAAACTCCTGACCTCAGGTGATCCGCCCACCTCAGCCTCCCAAAGTGCTGGGATTACAGGCATGAACTATGGTGCCTGGCCATATATCAATTCTTAATGGCCTCTGGTACTTTTTTCTTTTGAAACCTTCTTTTCATTTTGACCTACTAATGTATTTTCATAGACATTGTGCTTTTTGGTTTGATTCTATTCAGGCACTGTTTTTGTTTTTGTTTTTTGCTAATTTCTTTGGTGGCATCTTTTTATTTCCATTAATACTAGGCATTACCCAAAGTTCTATTTTAGGTTACTGTCCCTTTTCCTCTCAGTCATTCTTCATAACTATCAGAGGTATGTATAGCTGCATGAATTCTTATTTTAAAATACCTAAACTTGATGTTTTTCTTTTCTTATTTCTGACGTATATTTTTACATATTTACTTAGATGTGCCTCCATCTTTTAAACATTTCATAAAGCAACTTCTGCTTCCCAGTTCTTCCCAGTCTCTTCCACCCATTTCTTTGTCACCAGTGGCAGCATCACTTATCTTCATGAATTTAAGTATCTTTATCTGTAAATAATTATTAGCTCAATATTTAATTTTTTGCTATTAATAACATTATATCACCAGAGGATTATTGCTATTTTCAATGAGTTCTGCTTTATTCTTATATAATATGGTCATATCTTTATGATTTCTCTACATAAAAAAATATATTGATAGCTACTATTTCTGAGATACAATCACTAAAATTGAGAGTGAGAAAGAAATAGTTTTTTTTTCTCTTTTATATTCTAGTAAATACTACCATATTTTCCCAAGAGCTGTCATGTTGTTGTGAATATCCCCTTAGGTGCCTCAAGGAAGATTAAAACGAACATCTCCCTTCTTTCTGTAACATGTTATTTTAAAATATTTATCTTTTGATAACAAATAATCTTTGCCTCTGTGTTTTCTGTATCTATTTTATATTTGAATGATACAACATTAGAAGTATATTTAACCATATTTTAGTTTAAATCTTTCATTATTAAAGTCTTTGCATTATTTTATCTGTCTAAATATTTTATTTGAGTAAGGTAATTTTTTCCACAGTGTTATTACTATATACTTTATTGGTATTGAAGCTAAAAATTGTTTGAACTTGATTTTTCCCTCACACTTTCATTGAAGAGAGATTTTCCTCCTAAGGAATTAAAGAGATGTAACTTTTTTCCCTCAGATTCTCCTGAGAATGATATACCTATGGAGATCACCACGGCAGAACCACAGGTTTCCGAGGCAGTATATGACTGTGTTATTTGTGGACAGAGTGGCCCCTCCTCTGAAGACCGACCTACTGGATTAGTTGTACTGTTACAAGCATCCTCAGGTAAAGTCAAAGTAATTTTTTCATGGGAACATTTTAGAGCCGAAGTATACACAACAGATTAATAAATATCTGTATTAAATGAAAATGATATCTTTGTTTACTTATAACTAGGCAAGGGTCAGTTTAGATCCTTCATAGCAAGGATCGATTTAGATCCGAATAACAAAGATTCTTTATCTGATTATATCTTACTTTCCTGGACATGAGTGTTAGAAGAAACTCTTAACAAAGATCTTGCTATATGGTTACACAATTTTTTTCTTTAAATGCTAGGTGTCCAATAACTGCATTCAGCTTTCTTGGTAATTATAATTGTTCTGGCCGGGTGTGGTGCCTCACATCTACAATCCCAGCATTTTGGGAGGCTGAAGTGGGCAGATCACCTGAGGTCAGGAGTTCAATACTAGCCTGGCCAACATGGAGAAATCCTGTCTCTACTAAAAAAATACAAAATATTGGCGGGTGTGGTGGCAGGTACCTGTAATCCCAGCTACTCGGGAGGCTGAGGCAGGAGAATTGCTGGAACCCGGGAGGTGGAGGTTGCAGTGAGCTGAGATTGTACCACTGCACTCCAGCCTGGGTGACAGAGTGAGACTCTTGTCTCAAAAAAAAAAATTGTTCTAAGATCTGGAAAACTCCTTAGCCCATAAATATTGTCAGTTTTTAATTACACAAGGCATATTTAGACAGCTCTGCCTTTATTTGTTCAGTCTGTGAAATGGTATGTTTACCAGTCTATAGTTTTAAACTGTGTAATTTTATTATAAATTATAAATGTATAATTTTAAAAGTTTGAAGGATTCATCTGAATGGTGTCCATTGTCTTCTGTAATGAAGTATTTTTGAGGGTAGTGATAATTCTTACACAATCTAGTCACAATGAATTTAATCCTTTTCCAACAGGAGTATGTGTAAAATAAAGAGAAAATAAAATTCTTACATATTTCTCCAGAGGATTTTTTCCTAGGTTGTTAAGTCTCTGAATTCGTATGGTAAAGTGGAAAGAGTTAGATATTATAAACTCCCCTGAATTCAAATATGGTATTGCTTTACTTCATGTGGCCAAATATCTTATTTTCTTGACTTTAGAAGATTTTTGTGTTGGTTAAGTAATGTGATATAAGCAAAAAGAATCCAATATGGTGCATAGTAAATTCGTTTATTCTGTTACTCTTCTTGCCTAAAATGAATTGATTTAGGAAACCCTGATTTAGTGGGACATTGAAATAGAGCTGTCAAAATCAGAAATGCCTACTGAAAGGGAAATGTGTGGAAGTATTAACTACTTTTACAGCTTCTTTTCCTTTCTACTACTCTTAGGAAAGCAGTTTATTAGATTATTGCCAATTGACTTTCAACTTTTTGACTAAATACTATATAGTTATCAACTTAATGATTTGTTTTATTTATTAATTTATTTCATAGATATTTATTGAGCACCTAGGTGCCAGGCACTGTTCTAGTAAGAAACAAAACAAAATCTCTGCTCCAGTGAAACTTATGTTTTTGTTTTAAGCTTTTATTTGTTCATTATTTTATATTTTTAAGTTTATTTGGTCTGTTAGTTTTTAAAGTGTCTTTTAAACAGTAGTATACGCTAGCTAGATAAATAGATATTAGACAATTCCACTATACTGTAGCTGCCTTATCTCTTAGAGATAGAAGGGAAAAAAATAAGAAACTAATATTGCCAGGACACAGTGGTTCACACCTGTAATTCTAGCACTTTGGGAAGCCAAGGCTGGAGGATTGCTTGAGTCTAGGAGTTCAAGACCAGCCTGGGCAACACAGTAAGACCCTGTCTCTACAAAAAGTAAAATTAAACAGGTGTGGTGACGTGCACCTGTGGTCCCAGCTACTCGGGAGGCCAAGGTGGGAGGATTGCCTGAGCCTAAGAGGTTGAGGTTGCAGTGAGCTGAGATTGCACCACTGCACTCTAGCCTGGGTGATGGAGTAAGACCCTATCTTAAAAAAAATTAAAAAA